TCTTCCCTTGGTGTGCTCTCTCCCCTAAATGGTGGCATCCTGGGCACTGTCATTTCTTCACCATATTTCACTTTACCTTCCACATTGTAAGTCTAAATTTAAGAAACCCAAGGTGATTTTGCCCACAAGAGGAAGTTACAGACATAAAGAGCATTTTAGCCTCTTGAAATAAAAGTGGGTTTAAATAGCCAAAGAAATTGATGATACCCTAGGGAAAAAAATGGGAAATAGTTGGCAAGAAGGTGATCTCTGTTTTCTTAGAAATTAACAATAAGACAACCATTTATTTGGAGGCAGCTTCCAATTTAACAATTAATTTCTACAGATTGACTCTCCTGATCCCAGATTAGAGCATTCAGCTGCCTTCTTGACATCTGTTTGGAAGTTTAATTTGAACACACCCAAACTAAAATGTCCTCTTCCACTAGAAACCTGCTTCTCTTATAGTTTCCTCAGTAAATCGCAACTTCATCACTTGGCAAAAAAAAATCTCTGGCTACTTTCATGTCCACCTCCAGTCTGTCTGCACTCCAAAAAATAATCCTCAGTCCAGCCACTACCAGTGTAGTTCAAGGCATTATCATATCTTTCTTCAAATATCCTCCAAACTGGCCTCCCTGCTTCTGCTAGACCTGATTGAACCTATTCTCTACATAGCAACCAGAATCTCCTTTAAAACCTAAGTCAGATCAAAATCCTTCAGTGCTTCTCCCAGTATATGTAAGTCCAGATCATAATAATGACCTAAAAGGCCCTCAGTTAATCTAGTTTGCCCTTACTTCCCTGGTCCCTTCTCTCTTCCCCATTGCTCACTCCACTGTACAGGGCTGTTGGGGCCTTTGCTCTGAACAGAATACTCAGCAGATAACTGCATGGTTCAAGTCCTCATCTCCAAGTCTTTGCTCAAATATTGTATCAGTGAAACTCCCTGACCACCTTATTTAAAATAGCAATCTGCTCCCCTGCTATATTTCCCTTCTCTGCCTTATTTCTCTTTATAGTACTTATTACTATCTGGCCTATTGTATATTGTACTTACCTCTCATCTACTGGAATGTAAGCTCTCTGAGGGTTTTATTTATTCACTGCTATATCCCTGTCCTACAGGCACATTGTCGTTAAATGAAATGTAGATGTTGGCCAGAAGCACTTACTTTCATAAGATAAGGCTAATGTTGCAATATATAGCTTCTCTGTTCATCCCCTTCCTTAGGGAAACAGTGGAGAAACCAGAAGTATTAAGTAATGCTATTATTGTGGACACTTAGAAGTGAAACTTGGAACTACAGCTTTCTATTGAGTACCTACTTGTGTACCAGAAATAATAATCAAGTAATCCTAAAACAGTCCCATGCCTGTGAGATCAGTATTCTTGCTCCCATTTTATAGTTCAGGAAAGTGGCTTGTAGGAGGTCACACACCAAGCAAGGCCCCCTGACTCCAAGATCCATGCTCTTCCTAAAATACCACACTGTACCTCTTTCCTGGGTCAGAGGATAACCAGGAGTAACTAGATCTAGCTGTGGTGCTCGGCAGGCAAGATTTGTTTTTGTTGTATTTAGCATGAGGTAAAATTGTCCCAAGAATTTCAATCAAGTTTTCATCAAAAGAGGTGTGGTTAATATTTGGGTCAGGGCCAGGAATGAATAATTAGTATTTATCGAGAGGGGGTGGAAATAGAGATAGTTGGCTTTCATCAACCAAGATGCCTTCCTAGGACACTTCTGGAAAAATAGTAAATGGGAAGGTTTTCATATCTATATTTTGGTGAGCAATATTGCTAATGGCTATTTTTGCTCTGGGTCTCTTGAACTCAACTTTCTAGTATAGAAAGTACATTTCTGGGCTATGTGTGGATCATTACCTAGGAGTTTGGTTTCCTGGGTTCCTTTCATCTGCTCTCCTGCAATGTGCAGGAGGAGCCTAGCCTGGTCTCCAGTTTCTGACTGGAGTTACCACTGGCGGTGAACTGCTAGCCACTGAGCTGTGAGTAATTTGCTTTTGAGAAGTAAATAGAACCTTGCCAGTAGAGAACCCAGGGGTGTGGCCAGTAGTTCTTTTCCCAGGCTCCTCCCTCCTCACCCCCCAAATGACCTTAACCTTCTTTCAGAGCTGGAGAGCAGCCAAGTCTGGCCTAAACAATACTCTCAACCTCATTGGCTCTTTTGCCTTACAGCCACTGCCACCCCCAAGTGGCTAAGGCCCTTCCCACTAGGCCTCTAAGTAGGGTCAAGGTTTTCTAACTACTGAAAGGCAAACACCAAAGAAAGGGTGAAAAATATCCACTGTCCCTGCATTTAAAGGATCAGTGTTCAGGTCCTGCAATTGGCTGAGAGGACAGGGTCTTTGTATTGGGGTGGATGGGCATCTTCAAATGATAATGGCAGAGGCCCAAAAAGTATTCTTTTGATAAATGTCCAAGACCTGATTGGTGCCACCCCAGGTTTCAGGATGGATGTAAATATTACCCAGTGTCCTTGGAAACTGCCAATGAATGCCTTTTATCCACAGCAAAAAGTAGCATAAAGTTCTGGTAAGGCACAGCTGCCTGTCATCACAGGCATTAGCCCTGCCTGCGAACAGTTGGCAGTGACAGGTACCAGAGGCCTATGTGGTCACTTCTGTCCCACAATAGTATGGCCTCAAAACCAACATCCCAGATCGGGGTCACCTTATCCAGTATTCTCATAGGATTGGGGTCATGGAAAGTTTAGTGTCTGGAAACTGAGCTACTGAGAATAGGTATAACAGGCTGTTCCTCTGCCCAGCCTGGGGTCAAGGCCATTTGCAGATGTGGAGCAAGGCAAGGCAGCTACAAAGAGAAATGAATTGTCAGGTTTTTCCAGGGATGGGAGTGCTCCAGAGAACCATCAAACTTCCTTCTTCACAGTGGGAAAATCACTCGCTCCGCTTTTCTTTCAGGGAGTTACAATAGCCCATATTTACACTTTATGAACACTTTACACATATGAACACTTTAAATGCCAAGTACTATAAAATCCATGAGATAGATATTATCTTCATGAGGACAAGGTCTGTGTGTCTATCTTGCTCAGTGTTACATCCTCATCCTCTGTCACTTAGTAGGCCCTCCTATTGTTGAATAAATCAAACAGATAAGATAGAAATTTAGTGGAGGAAAGAATAGGTAGGAGTCGGTGTGCTCTATGTAGTATTCTCGGCATAACCTGTAAAGACTTAGTCATGTGGAAAAAAAAGGGAGAGGAAAAGAGGCAAACCTGAGAAAAAATAGTGTAGTGTGATAGAAAAATCCAGCCTGGGAGGCTAGAGACCTGAATTCAAGTCTCACCTCTGCCACTAGCTGTGTAACTTTAAGCCAATCACTCCTCCTCTCTGAGTCTTAGTTCTCTCATCCATGAAATATATGTATCAGATTAAATGAATCTATTCACCAGATCTTCATTGAGTACATACAATGTGCAAAGCACTGTTCTAATGCTGGTAATACTTTGAACAAGGCCCCCACTTCTCATAGCGCTTACATTCCCTAAGAGGAAAACATGATGAAATGAGTAAAATTCATGGACAGGACAAGGTGGTGATAAGTGCTATGAAAACTGAACAGGGTGATGGGATAGTATAGGGTGGGGGTGTGACCAGGTAGTCAAGGAAGGCCTCTCTGAGGAGGTGACATTCAGCCGAGATCTGAATGTAGTGGGGCTGGCCAAAGGGTGGTCTGGCAGTGAAGTGTTTCAAGGAGAAACAGCAAGAGCAGAGCCAGGCAAGTACAAGAAACAGAAATGCTGTTAACTCTTACATTCTAGGATTCTAGAAATAGTGATGCACTTCTTACATTTGTTTAGGTCAGGGGGTTTTGTATTATGAAAGTGTTTCTTAGTGGTGTGGGATATTTGCTTCTTAATGAAACTGGCTATGTCCATGGTACAGAGTCTTTCTGGAGCCCTGGGATGTGTCTCTGTCTCCCTGGCTCTTCCACAATGCTGGTCGCTCAGCTGGCTCCCTGTGTAGATGCAGGCTCCATTTTAGCTGCCGACTCTGAAAGCAGAATGGAGAGAGCTGCCTCCTCCACTACTTACTCACAGCCTTGGAGGCCCAGAACTCCCTCCCATTCCCACCTAGTCTTCTTCCACTCTGACAAGCCAGGGCTTTGAGAGCACAAGATTCAGCTTCCTTGTTTTCCTGTCAGAGCAGGAGCCAGAAAATGAAACAGGAAGCAGAGCGGAAGAGCCGGGGGCAGGAGGGTGGGGGGGTGTTGATAGCAGAGAAGGAAAGGAAGGAGAAATTGCAGGAAAGTAAAGCTGAATATCTGGACAAAGTTCTACCTCTAAAGGTTGACAGTTGAGCTTTTAGAAAACATTCTGACTTGTCGCAAGGGACCCCTGTCCTTTTTACAAAGATTTTTGAAAGAATTTGGGGTGGACAGAGAGAACCTTAAGAAATGCATGTCTTTTCCCCCTGTGAATTCACAAAGCAAGGACAGTTCATTTCTCAGTTTTATCTTTGCAAACAAAGTGCTGCTTGGAGGCTCACGGACTTCTAGAGCCTTAAGCCACAACCTCAGGCTTCAGTCAAGAGTGTGCCCCACAGCTTTGTCTATTCACTCACAGGCCTTTGGAACTCAAAGTGTGTGTCACTGAAAAAATAGGGGAAGAGTCTTCTAAATTCCATTTTTTCCCTTCTCCTCCAATGAATGATTAAAATGTGACCTATACTTTAGTCACTTTATACACAGCAAATACCTGAGGACAATTTAGTTCTCAAGGCCTGAACTAAGTTATAAAGAATCAAAAGATACAGTCCATGGCCCCCACAAAACTGATCTGGGCTAGTTCCTTTGCCTGAGAGAGAGCAACCATCTCTTTGTTCCCACCCACATGAGTAGTGGTTGCAGAAGATAAACCCCTCCCTCAGCCAGGGCTGTGGCCAGAGGCTAACCCAGACCCTAACATCGTTTGGAGGGCAGATAACTGAAACCGCAGGCTTTGGAATCCTGAGAAACAAGAAATCCACCAACGGAGAAGGATTTATTATCTATTTCCTTTAAGGAGGGTGCAAAGTTGTTCTAACAGTTTCCGTTACAGGGGTACCAACTGGCTGCTCCTCCCTAACAGACGGTTTTGTTGAGTTAGCTCCTTTTCTTCTTCTTTTTTGGCCCCACTTCCTAAGAGAAAAACTGCTTGAATGAGGAAGGAGAAAGGACTCCTGGCGAGGGTGTTCTCTGAAGTTTCCTTCACCATCCTCATTAGCCACCTGAGGTGGGGCTGAGAACTGAAGTAGGACAGAAGGTCCCTGGTAGCTGGAGGGGAAAGTCAGGGGGATCCCCTGCTTTCTTCACACCCAGGACGCAGGGTGCCGCTGCTGGCCACAGAAACCCCAAGAAGTCTTTTCTTTCTATTCGGAGAACATCTATTGTGTGCCAGGCCCTGTGCTGAGCTGTTGTTGCCTGACAGCAGGGAAAATGCGGCTCTTGCTTCGGTGAAGAAACCACTGGCCAGCCCCTCAACTCCGAGAGCCTCCGCACACATGGAAACTCAGTGGATGTTTGTGGGGTGGAACTGGGGCAAGAACACGACTCTGAGACAGTAGCCCCGGAGGACTAACTGATGGTGGGGGAGGGGGCCTTGAAGAGCGTGCAGTACAAGAGGGAACTCTTAAGGTGTCACCAAAGCGTAGAGGCGCCAAGGTTGAGGGCCCGGAGTCATGGGGCTCCGTCGTACCCGCCCCACTCGGAGTCAACATGGCCGCCGCAGAGGGGGCGGGGCGGCTCCAAGTCCGGGCAGGAGAGGGGCGGGGCCGCCGTCGGCGGAGTCAGTGCACAGGCGCAGGCCGCTCGGAGTCCCGGATGGAGGAGCTGAGGTTCGGGCCCTGCTTTGGAGGTTGAGAGTGGCGGGCGCTGGGGACCCGGCGCCAGCGTGGGAGCCCTGGAGTTCTTGGGGGAGGGAAGTTGTCAAACGGAGGCCGAGGGACATGAGGCGGAGGCTGCCGAGAAGCGGGGAGTCCCGCCCCTCCGCCATTGCGGCCTCGGGGTGCCGCCTCTTCCTTTACAGCCTCCCGCCTTCCCCTGCCTTCCGGCCCTGTAGTCCGGTCAGGCCACACCGGCTCCCTCGGAAATAGCCCCTGGACCTTGGCCTCTTTGGGGAGAGTAGATGCCCGATCCCCGCTTGGGGCTGTACCCGAAAGAAGCAGGCAAGAAGAGTCTTTAGACCTGGCTGGGCTGGCAGAAAGCGGCCCCTGGCTCATGATGGCCAGCAGCCCGCAAGGCCTCTGGCCCTAAGGACTCTTGGGCAGAGCTATTTCCCCATCCCACAAAAGATGTCTTACCCAGAGGATCCAGACTCGAAATCAGCAGGCTTCTCTGTATTCTCAGATAGGCGACACCCTGCCCTAAGCATACCCAGCAAGAGCATGCTCTGTCGTTGGACAACTACTAGGCTAGGAGTTGAGAGACCTGGGTTGTAATCCTGGCTCAGAAACAGCACATCTTGGCTGGGGTGAGGCCTGGTGGGAAGACCATAAAGTTTCAGAATAAAAAAAGAAAACTCAGAACTTTCTCTTTAAATATAGCTTTGAGTGTGCCACTTGACCCCAGTGAGCCTCAGTTTCCATATCCATAAAATGGCGATGGCAATTATACAGGCCTCACAGGGTCTAATGAAATCTATAATGTCAAAGCTATGGAGATTTTTATTACTCACCTCTCTGGGGCATATTTACCTCACGGGAAAATAAAGTAAAACTAGTTACTCTTCAAGTGTCCTGCCAGTTAAGAGTCTGTGATTTGGCAAAGTGGTTGTTGGGACGTGAGGTTGGCAATTAGCTGAAAGGGAGAACTCACTGGCTTTATTTTGTTTTTACTTGGTTTACCTGTAAATTAAGTGTAAGCTACAATACAAGTCTCCTGTGGTCGCTGGGGCTAAAGCTTGACTCTGCAGAGAGGAAAGGAAGAATGGCAGCCTGGTGAAGAGGCAGAGGTGGGTTAAGTGCTTTTCTGTTCCTAATTTCTCTTCTACATGTGGGTGGAAAGTGAAGAAGGGAAAAAGTGAATTCACCCTAGGATAGAGAACCAGCGGCTGTGTTTGGTTGGCTGTGTCTGTTTCTGCGACTCACCTCTATAAAACGAGTCAGGTGTTGGAAATGTTGGGTAGATTCACAGACTACCTCCGCTCTCTGGGGTTTTCAGAAGCTAGCCTTTGAACTGAATTTTGATGAGCAGACTGGTGTGGCGTTTGTGGCCCCTCCCTTCCTCTAGGCTTCCTGGTGATGGAGTAAGCAGCAGGCGCCCCCTTGTGCTGAGGATAAGTACTGTTGCTATTGGCAAATCTCGCTCCCTTTCTGGAGAAATTTTATTTTCCTATGGCTTCTGTGAATAGTCTTGCTCTTAACATGAGGATGGTGGGAGGGATACTTGGAGCAGTGATTTTATATCCAGAGCCAATGAACTGATGATGCCATATCCTGTTCTTACCACTTCCACTCAGAACAGGGGCTTAAAATGCCTGTTTGTATGCTAGGTCCTGGGGATATAGTTGTGAGCGAGATAAAGCCCCTGCCTCACAAGCAACTTAATTAAGCAATAGCAGTAAAGACCACATGGCAGAGTGCAATGAGAGCATATCGCATAGTCTAGAGAGGGTCAGAGAAGAATCCCAGAAACAAGTGGTACCTAAAGGTTTGATACCAGCCCTCCTTGTTAATTTCTCAGTTTAAGTATTTTTTCCTTTAGGGATAGTTCTTCACCCCAACTTGGTGAGCTGCCTCATATGCTCTTACCCTCCCTTCTCATGTCCCAGACTAGATCTGTGGGAGCCATTGCTACTTATTTTAGCCAAACGAATTGTTAATAAAAAATAATGCCTTAAAGTGCATTCCTTGCCTCAGAATGGCTTTGCAATTGTTTATATGTTGCTGCCATTCCAATAAAGAGATGAGAAATAAGTTTTCTCCATCCCTAGTAGACAACTCTGTCTTCCTACTAAGTTTGTTTTAGCAATGTGAGCTGGCTGAACTCCTGCAGAGTGGTGGTTTTCTTTTCCTTCTCCACTTAATTTAACAGACCAGCTGAACACACATCAGAGAGCTAAGCTAGAGTGTGTAGTTATTATGGTTTCTTAGTTCACTCTATGCCCCATTTTTGGGATTCTGGTTTGGGACCTGGTTTATTATTCTGGGCAGGAGGAAGGGCGCACACACCAAATAATAGCAACCATAATGTAGATGTGGTAGTACTTCACACTCTTGTCCATTTCACCACCCTGACAATTTTGTGAGACAGGCAAAATAATCTGCTCCCATTTTATACATAAAGAATTGAGGCTCAGAAGGTCTAAATGAGAACGTCTGAGCCAAACAGAGCTAGGATTTGAACCTAGGTCTTTAGTTCCTGCAAAGGGCACTCAGCAGCCTTTTTAAAGATTTCCTGCGAGTTTTGCTTCCCAGTTTCATGCCTGTGTGGAACTTTCCCAGCAAGAATACAGTACTTCAGAGAGACACTAAATGACATCTGCCTTCAAGATGCTTTTCCCTCATCTGGGAAGTTAGGTGGTTAAGTTCGCCTACTAATACTGAAGGGGGAGCCTCTTGTGAAGAATGCTTTCAAGAATTTACTTTCAACCAATGTGTGACATTTCTCCTTTGGGTTTTGGCGTTTAGAAGCCTGAGGGAGCTCAGTCCTGGCAGCAGCGTCCCTACTTTCCTGGTGGTGACAGGATGTGGCCCCTGGACCCATCCCGGAAAGAGGTGCTGAGGTTTGCGATCAGCTGCCGTATCTTGACACTGGTGCTCCAGGTCAGTCTCTTATCTTTTGTCCTAAACATGCTGTTGCCACATGACTGGGCTAGGCTCTAAGAATAGTTCTCATCTTCTTTCAGCCTTCCGAGTGTACGCCTCCATGCGGTTGAAACCGTAGACACTTAGACTTCATAGCTGAAAAGTAAGTTGTCAGGAATCTTAGAAAAGGTCTATTCATCCCTTGTTTTACACATGAAACTGCAGAGGCCTGGAAAAGTTAAATGGCTTCCCTAAAGTCACATAGCAAGTTAGAGAAGGGCCAGAATCAGACCTCACGTTTTCTAACTCCTGAGCTAGTGGTCTTTCCAAAAGACCATGATGTTCTGTAACCAGAGATGCCTTTAGGGTATGAGCTCTCAAAGCATTGCCCTGGGTCCCCTTACCAGGAGACCAAGCTCTGTGTCAGTCAGTTCAGTGGGAGAGAGGTGGCACTGTCCTGAGACCATCTGTATATTCGTTTAGTCAGCAATGGTTCCTACTCTTCCCCAGGTGTCTTCCCCTTGCTGCCTCACCCACACAGCCCTCAGAATGCATTTGCACTTTTGCAACTCCCTTTCCCCTCCAAGACTGCCGTTATACGTATTTTAATCAAATTTTATATATTTATGAATTATATGCGGTGCCTAGCACAGTGCCCAGCGCTTAGTAGGTCCTCAGTATGCGTTGTTGAATATAGCTGACACTCTAGGTATGTTATATTAGCATAATTATGTGTACCTTTTATCACAAGCTCTATTCTCTCTGAGGCTCAGAGCTGGTTCCTTTGTGGAAACCACTCCTCTTTCCTCCCTCTCTAGGAGACGTAGCAGGCTCTGGTGGGTCCCAGGCTTAGGTAAAAGTGTCTTTAACTTGGAGACTGGAGCTGTTATCTGTGACTGTCACTCATGTCCCATTTGTTTTCACTGTTTGAAGTGGTCCGATTTAAAAAAAAAAAGACCGAAAAGAGAAAGAGCCTTAAAAATAAGGTCATACTCTTGGTGCCAGGCTGGAGAAACTAACTCTATGATACCTTTGAACCAGCATTAGTTGAGTGATTGACAGAACCAATGGAGCAATACTGTGAATTGGCATCTGGGATATGGAACCAGGACAGCCGGGTTCTAATTCAACTGGTAATTTGGAAATGAGGATGTTTTCTCTAGACTGTTCACTCAACCACCAAAATTTTATTAAGTACCTACTCTGTTCTAAGAACTGTGCTAGGTCGTGAGTATAAAAAGTCATGGTCTCTTTTCCCTTAAGTAGCCGACAGTCTAATGGGGCAAAAAGACATTTATCAATAATGCTATTTCATTATCCCTCCTTCTAGCTTTAAAGCTTATAACATCAGAATATATTGTCAGTTACCCTTCATTGTTGCTGTCATTTCTGTTAATGACAGCTCATTCCTCTTCATTCCTTGAAGATTTTAGCTCCTGATTCACTGTTACTCTTTCCAGCACAACAGTTGATTTCTCGATGGTTTGAATATTAATAAATTTGATATACCTGACCACTATCTCCTGTCTTTCCAGCTCACTCCCTCTAGTAACTCACAGCTCTAATGATTCTTCTAACTCCTCAAGATTTCTAATCCATTGATTCTCCCACCATTTCACTGACCCTCGCACAGTTCATGGCTATAGCTCTGCATCTTACCAGCTTAGAGTCCATGGTCCATCATGCATGCCCACACAACTTGCTTGCTTCCTTTTCCTTGTGTCTTGTTCACAAGACAAAAGCCTAATCTCAGTTAAATTTAGTTCTCTGCCCATTCCATGCCTGCATCTGATCAGAGAAAAATACAGCTGTATTAACTAGTTTCTTTTCATTCAAGATCATTAACTGAAGCGAGTCCTTTTAGTGCTACTTGGCAATCTTTAGTGTATTTCCCTGGTCCATTCACTCCCATCCCCATTCTCTCAAATTTTCTGCACATCAGAATCACCTGAGGGAGTTTAAAAATATATCAGTGCCCAGGCTGTATCCCATACCAGTTTTTTTTTAAAAACATTTTTTTTAGTTACAGTGGATATACAATATTATATTAGTTTCAGGTACACAACATAGTGATTAGACATTTATATAACTTATGAAGTGATCGCTCTGATAAGTCTAGTACTCATCTGACACCGTATATAGTTATTACAATACTATTGAGTATATTCCTTATGCTATACTTTATATCCCCATGACTGTTTTGTAACTACCATTTTGTACTTCTTAATCCCCTCTTCTTTTTCACTCACTACCCCAATCCCCCAAATATTCTGGCAACCCTCAAAATAGTCTCTGTATCTATGAGTTTGTTTCTGTTTTATTTTGTTCCTTAGATTCCACATATAAGTGAAATCATATGGCATTTGTCTTTCTCTGTCTGACTAACTCTACTCAGCACAGTACCCTCTCTCTAGTTCTATCTGTGTTGTTGCAGATGGCATGATTTCCTTTTTTTTTTTTTGCCTTATTTTACCTAGCATAATACCTTCCAGGTCCATCCATGTTGTCACAAATGATAAGATTTCATTCTTTTTTTATGGCTAAATAATATTCCATTGCATATATGCACCACTTCTGCTTTATCAAATGATCCATTGATGGATGTCTAGGTGGCCTCCATATCTTGGCTGTTGTAAATAATGCTGTAATGAACATATGGATGCACATGTCCCTTCAAAGTAGTATTTTGGGTTTCTTCAGATAAATACCCAGAAGTGGGATTACTGGGTCCATCTTTGTCTTTTGTTATAGCCTTTGTTTTAAAGTCTATCTTGTCTGGTATGGATACTCAACATGTTCAGAGAAATTTCTCTAGTAACAAACTATAGAAATGATCCCTGAAAATATACCAGTTAAATCATTAACTCTGGGGGAGGGACACAAGCATCAGTATTTTTAAACTCCCTGAGTAATCCCAGTGCACAGCCTATTTTGAGGACTAGGGTCATAGATCAAATATTTTATGCGTGTTCCTCTTTGCTCAAGTCTCTAACACCTTTTCTCCAAATTGCTTTCCTGAGTGAAAACTCAGAAAAATAGAAGCAGTCTGTATGCTCCTACCGCATCCATCAGCATACCTACATGGTCACCTTTGTGCCTTTACTATAGAAGGTTGGGTGAACTGTCGGTCCTCCTCTCTAAGGCTAGCTCCTCCACCTGTGCAGCAGATTCTATCCCCTTTCGCCTGCTCCAACAATTCCCCTCTCTCTTTTCTGCATACTCAGTGGTTTTCTTTCCACTGGGTTATTCCCATTGGCAAACATATCTCCCACCTTAAAAGAAGAAGATTTATCTTGACCTCACATTGTCATTCACCTACTACCCTGTTTCTCTGCTCTGCTTTAGAGCCAACCTTCTCCAAATAGTTGTATGCACTATCTCCTTTCTCCCCTTTTCTCCTGAACCCAGTCCAGGCGATCTTCTCTCTCCTCTGCTCCACTGTAATAGCTCTTCTCAAAATCACCAGTGACCTCCACATGGCTAAATCTAGTGGTCAGTTTTCGGTCTCCATCTTCCTGGACCTATCGGCAGCATTTAACAGAGTTGACCACTCCCTTGCTTCACTTGGTTCTAAGACACCATGCTCTCCTGGTTTTCCTCCTAGTTCACTAACCATTCCTTCTTTATCTTCACTGCTGGACCCAGGGCCCAGTCCTCGGATCTCTTCTTTTCTCTATCTGTACTTTCTCTCTAGTGCTTTCATTGTATCACACCTTTAAATACTACTCATGTACCTATGACTCCTAAATTTATATTTCCAGCCCTGATTGCTCTCCTGACCCTCAGACTTGTATATCTCACTGCCTCATGGGCCTCTGCACTAGAGTGAGTGTCCAACATAAACTTAACTAGTTCAAAACTGAACTCCCGATTGCCCCCAGCAAGTCTGTTCTTCCTCATTTTATTAAATAGTAATAATATTTACTATTATTCCTTCATCCCACAGGCTCTCTTCAATGCCATCATCCCAGATCACCATGCAGAAGCCTTCGCTCCTCCTCGCCTCACCCCCTCGGGTTCTGTGGACCAACTTGTGGAAGGTCTCCTGGGTGGCCTGTCCCACTGGGATGCTGAACACTTCCTGTTCATTGCTGAGCATGGCTACTTGTATGAACACAACTTTGCCTTCTTCCCTGGTTTCCCCCTGGCTCTGTTGGTGGGGACTGAACTGCTGAGACCCCTCTGGGAGTTACTGAGCCTGCGGAGTTGCTTGTTAATCTCAGTAGCATTGCTCAATTCCTTATTCTCTGTCCTGGCTGCAGTTGCACTTCATGACCTGGGCTGTCTGGTTTTGCACTGCCCCCGCCAGGCCTTTTACGGAGCACTGCTCTTCTGCCTCAGCCCTGCCAATGTCTTCCTGGCCGCCGGTTACTCGGAAGCTTTGTTTGCCCTCCTGACATTCAGTGCCATGGGACAACTGGAAAGGGGTCGAAGCTGGACTAGTGGACTCCTCTTTGCTCTTGCCACTGGTGTACGCTCCAATGGGCTGGTCAGCGTTGGCTTCCTTGTGCATTCTCAGTGCCAGGGCTTTTTTTCTTCTCTCATGGTGCTCAATCCCCTGAAACAGCTCTTGAAGCTGATGGGCTCTATGTTCCTGTCCGTGTTTGCACTTGGCCTTCCTTTTGTCCTCTTTCAGTGTTATGCCTACACCCAGTTCTGTCTGCCGGGCTCAGCCCACCCTATCCCTAAGCCCTTGCTGCAGTTAGCTGTGGACAAGGGCTACCGGATTGCAGATGGAAACAAGCCACCTTGGTGCTCTTGGGAACTTCCCCTAATATACAGCTATATCCAGGATATCTACTGGAATGTTGGCTTTTTGAGATACTATCAGTTCAAGCAAATACCCAATTTTCTGCTGGCTGCACCAGTGGCTATACTGGTTGTCTGGGCAACTTGGACATATGTGACCACCCACCCCTGGCTCTGCCTGACACTTGGGATGCGAAGGAGCAAGAAGAGTGAGAACTTGGAGAAGCCTGAGCCTGGATTCCTGAGTCCTCGGGTGTTTGTGTACTTAGTCCATGCTGCGGTGCTGCTGCTGTTTGGCAGTCTGTGCATGCACGTTCAGGTGAGGTGGATTCCTGGCTGGGAATAGGGTGTGAATACAGGTAAAACTCCTGGACCAGGAACAGGGAAGACAGCTAACTTCCCTTATTTGTGTGACCTGTACCTAATTTATTCATTCAACAACTGTTTGGGGGCTTTCTTTGTGCCAGACCATGGGTCAGACCACTGAGGATGGAACTCATATGAATAAGATAAGATTGCTTTTAGTGGGTTTCATGGTTGAAATGGGGAGACAGACATTTAACAGATAAAATGGGATGGAAGAGGAATTGCTGTTTTGAGACAAAGTATTATGGAAACAAAGAGGAAAAAGGAGCTAACTGACTGAGGGAGGTGAGGATGTGGTATGGTAGTTAGGCCGGGTACTGAAGCGTAAGAGGGAATTCCCTCTAAGAAGCACAGGAAGACTGTTCTGGGCAAATGGAAGGGCATGTGCAAGGACATGAGAATTGTGAAAGGACCTGCTCAGACCGAGACAGGAATAAGCACAGAGGGTATGTCTGAGACCGTCTCTTGATACACAGTTATACCCAGAATGTCGATTCGAATGTTGACCTTCTGAGGTACTCTGAGCTCTGGCAGGCGCTCGGTTTTCAGAAGAGGTAAACTTGTGCACTGTTCGGGGTGTGGTGGGTATATAGAGAGATGGGAAGGGTTTGATCATACCTTCAGGGTTTTTTATTTTGCTCCTGGCTGTGGACCTAGTTTTAACAGAACCCTGAGGAAGTCTTTTTGTCTCCATGCTGTGCACTCCTCAGGAGTTGCTGCCTCTTGGAGGTGCACATTGGCTATTTATAAAGTTCTCTGAGCTGTGTGAGTAAGAGGCATAGGGGAAATTGGAAGTAGCATTCTGTGTTTGTAGCTGGATTAACTAGTAGAGAGAATACCAGCAAAGCTTAGAGTTTCCAGGTTAGATGAAGGAGAGTTGGCTCTGAACTCCCCTAAGAGGGAGAGTGTTGAACCATAATATCCCCTGCAACCTTTTCCTCTGCTTCGGCATCCCCATGGGACGAGGGAACTACCTCAGGTTCCGAAAACACCACATCACGTCCTAGAGTTTAGAGTCCAGGCTTTGGGCTAAAATTGGACCCCATAACGTTTTTTGTATTGATTGGCCCATTATTGTGGTAATTAGTCTGTAGCTATGTTTACTTGTGACACTGAAGTCACCTGGCTGGTGTCACATACAGCTTTCTAAGGCAGATCCTAACTCTACTAAATTTCCTTTCCAGTATAATACATTTCTAGTCATGGGGTTATAGTTCACCCAGCAGCAGGGAATCCCCAGGCTGGTCCAGTTCGAGGCAGTGACATTCCAATAAATGTGTGGGTTTCCCCCTCTTATGATTTTCAGGTTCTCACCAGATTTTTGGGCTCTTCCACTCCTATTGTGTACTGGTTTCCAGCTCACTTGCTTCAGGATCAAGAGCCACTGCTGCGATCCCTAGAGACTGTGCCTTGGAAGCCTCTTGCGGGGGACTCCCCACCGGGACAAAAGGTCTCCAGAAATTCTATTGTGGGACTTTTATACAACTGGAAAACCTGTTCTCTAGTCACACGTTGCATTCTAGGCTACTTCCTGACTTACTGGCTCCTGGGACTACTCCTACATTGCAACTTCCTGCCTTGGACGTGACCTGGAGTCTCAGGAGACAAACTTGAAGCAGAATTAACCAGGGGTCTGGAAGTATCAATTCACAATGGGATTGCCTGCACTGCTTTGGGATCCTTTCTGTGTCCATTAGAACCTCTTTCTGTTCGAAGGCTGGTTAGGAATGGGAGCAGTATGAGCCACTAGAAAGCCCCTTCTGATCCTGGCTATGGAAAATTTTAGAGTAGTAACTATTTTCACAGTAAGTGAAGAAATCTTATTCCAAGTCTAAAGTGCACCTGGATCTGTCTTACCAAGCAAGCACAGCAGAGATAGTCTTAAACTTAACCACTGACCCACATGTAAATTTAAATGTAAATTATTTAAATGTAAATTTCATCAAAGACTCTAGATGACTGGCTGGTAATCGTGCACACATGATGGAGGAAGTCTGAGCAGTGTAGTGGCAGTAGTAAGTAAAGTGGGAACTTCCTTTCTAAGTGGGACATGGGTTCTTTGATGATTTTTTTCGTTATTTGTTCATTTAGTTATAGAAAAAAGTCTTACAAAGATATACAAATTAAACAACTTTCGGTTATATAAGCATCAATTATCTTTTCAAAAATAATATAAATTACTTTTACTTGGGGGAGAAAGTCACAATAAAGAAGAGAGCATTGCATAAGGAGGCAGGAGACCTAGATCCTAGTCCTCTCAGTAGAACCCACTTTACCAGCTATGTGACCTTGAGAGAGTTTTCAGAGACATAGTTACCTCTTCTGAAACTAGGGGAAATGATGTTATCCAGTTAGGGGGTTAGGGATGAGTAAACTGTATAATCTCTTATAGGTCCCTTTCTGCTCTAAGATCTGAAGAGCTGCCTTAAACAGTGAAGCCATCCCAGTCTAAATGCATATGTAGAGGCTGAAATATGTAATTTTAGGAGAAAAGATTCAGTTCTGCTTTCAGCACTTAGAAGAAACTCTCCCTCTCCTTGGGTACAACTCTGAGGAGTAACTTAAGTGACCTTACCTTTGAATGAGGGAAAGCGGCAACACCCGACAAATAAGGCTCCTTGGCCTGCATAAGTAAACCTGTACCGGACAACTAAATGATCAAAGCGGTGACTAGTTTTCCTGCTGTGCCCAAGTGTCTGTGCTTGCTTGATTGGTAGACATAAGGGTCAAAGGAGCCAGCATGGCAGCATGAATTGATAAATTGTAGGTAAGTCCAAGGTTGAATGAAATGGTATCTGCCTGTCCCCCTTTGGTTATGAGCCCATCATTTCAATGGCACTAAGATCATTGACCCCTGCTGAGCTATTTTTGCTCATTCTTTGAGTCAAGTAAGAGTCTCAGCATCATTATAACTCATTGGATTGAAAAATTAAAACAAGCAGAAACTTCAAAATAAATGGTTAATCATCGGCAGCTTCTGGAGAACTCTGAGAACTGGAATTTTGACACGCTCCCTCTGACCATGACAGAAAGCTAAACTTGCCAGCTGAAAGGAAGCTCCTGGCTGAGCCCCAGCACCCTCTGTTGGAGCTTCCAGTCAGCCTGGCCAATAAGCATTTCCCATCCATTGCCCCAGCTTTAGCACAGCTGAGAGAATTTGGTCCAGAGTCAAATGCTTCTGAAAATGTACACACAGATTGGGGCAGCCCTCTGCCTTCTGCCAAGACACCCGAGTGCCCTTCTTGGCAAAAGATGATCATCTCTGTCCTAGTATTCCTTCAGTTGGCAGAAACTGTTCCCTCCATCCTCACCAACAGCTGCAAATCCAAGGACTTCCACCCTGAGTGCAGGAAGAGCCGAGGTCCTGTTTCAGCTCTTCATTGCAGAGGTAGGAGCACTAGAATCTTTGCTCTTGTGGATTCTCCTCTTTGCCTCTTCTTAGGGGATAGTCAGGACTGATTGTACCCCCACTGGAAGAGGTGACTCAGACTCCACAGGGTAGGAAGTGATTTCACTGCTCTAGCAGTCTCAGCTTAACCTTCACACTAGATCTCATCACCCCCAGAAAAGTGATTTCAAGGACCAGAGACCCTATAAATGGGAATCTCATCTTGTCAACTAATACCAAGAAACTAAATCACTCTGGTGTTCGGCAAAGACAATTATAGATACAGTTAATTTTAGAGGAGGTAATGACCCCAGCTAAGTGGACACACCTGGTGTGACCTGGACGAGGACACAGTTTTCTCTCTGACCTTGGAGGGATCTAGTTGCTGTTCTCTAAGTAGCTAAGGAATGGGCTGATTTTATGGCCAGCAGCTGTCCTTTTACCATCCTATTAACAGTCTTTAATAGTCTAGGAGAGGGACATGAAGGGCCCAAGGCAGGAAGCTTCCTGTTTACCCTGAGGTCTAACAATGCTGCAGCTGGGTTGGGCGTCTACAATTTCAGAGAAAAGTCATTTCCTTCTGAGACCCAGCTAAAACAGAAACCAGACACTTCATGTACCTAGAAGGAGATGCTTTTTTGTTCTTTAATGAAGGCGGGAGGAGAGGGAGTGTTTGACATGTCTTTACCAGTCCCCCTGGGGAAAAAAAATCACTCCTTTTCTCAACAGACCCTCTCACCTTCATCTAAAACTGTAGTGTGTGCAAGCTCAAGGGATTTGAAGTTGATTGATTCTTTCAGCAATTGTTTACTCCTATTTTAAAGGAATGAAGATGACTCGCTATGCCGCCCATCCTCAAATAACTGTCTCATAAGAGTTGCTGGCAAATACACAGAAACATTAATCAAGGTAGAAGCTGATCAATTCTGGGGAATGAAAGGATACTTAAATGTCTTGCTCTATATCTCTCTACTTGGACTTTTTATGATAAGGATGAATTAAAGTTTTACCCATATGCTTAGGAAAAGGTAAGTGAGGTACAGAGTAAGTACTCAAAATTCACACAAGGCAGAGGTCTCTTCTAGCTTGGACTACCCAAAAAGAATTCCTAGAGAAATGGCCTTTGAAGGACAGGTAGGATTTGAAAGTTAAGAGCGGAGAATGAGTATGAGTGAGATACGGGACAGGGAGAGTTCAGTTTGAGTGGAACTGAGGTATTGTCATTATTGAGATCTAGGTCTTGAAATCAGCCCCAAGCCCAGCTCTACTGTGTACTAGCTGTGTAAACATGAGCCAGGTACTGAATCTCTAAGCCTCAGTTTACTTGTATGTAAAACGTGGATAACACTATTTAGCTCATGGGTGTGAATGATAATATAGACTTGTGGAAATTAAATGAAAAGTGTTTAGAACAGTACTAATAAAGGAACAGGTGTATTTTGGACAGATTGAATTCCATCAGCTCATTCATATGCCAGGAAACGTGGAACTGGAGACAAGGAGTAGGGTCAGGAAGCCATCCACACAGACATGATAATTCCATCTGCCGTGAGATTGGATAGGATTGTCAAAAAGGAAAAGTGTAGAGACAGGAGGCCTGGAAAACCTTGGGCAGGTGACCCAATTCCTCTAAACCTCTTTCTCTAAAAAGGGGGTGATGGCACCTGTCACGCAGAGTAGTTATGAGGATTAAATGAGACACCAGATGGAGCACTAGCACAGTACCTGACACAAAGAAAGAACTGAACTGTGCCATTTGTTATCATCATCATTACCATTAAAGGATCAGAAATGAATAATATCAGAGGAGGAAAGAGTCTCAAGAAGAAAGAAATGGTTACCGGGGTCATATGCTATTAAGGTTAGAGAAAGAATGAGAAAAGGAGGCTAGTAAATGACTCCCAATACTCAGTGGCTTAAAAACAAAGTTTCTTTCTCTTTTGCGTCATAGGTTAGTTCAGGCTTGGACTCAGTAACTTGGGACCCAGGATTCTGACATTTTGTGACTTTGCCCTCCTCTAAGTGCTCAGAGTCCTCTGTTTTCAGAGAGGTTTTAAGGGGTCAGAGTTGGAAGAGATGCACATTGCTTTCATTTAAATCATTGGCTAAAACTCCATCACATGGCCATATCTAACTGCAAAGGAGGCTGGGAAGTAGGGTTGCTGGATGAAGTACAGACTGCTCAGTTAAATTAGAATTTCAGATAAATATTTTTTCAGTATAATTATGTTCCAAATATTGCACAGGACATACTTATACTAAGAAATTCTTTTTGTTTGTCCAAAATTCAAGTTTAACTGGGCATCCTATATTTTTATTTGCTAAATTTGGCAGCCCTACTGGGAAGTGAAGTCTGGCTGTGGGTTTAGGAAGAAATAGATATTTGTGTGTCACAGTCTGTCTCAGTCTGTCTTTCTAAGCCAAATACCTATTTCTGCTCTTCTCACGGAACACATTCAGCCCTTCCCAAGAGAGATAACCCCAAATCTAGTCACCATATTCAGCTCTAAGTCTCTCAACAGCTTCAAATATCGTTCCTTATGGTGATACCTGAACTAAAAAAGAAAAGTTATCTGTACCCCACAAACACACAAAATGTACAAAGGTAGAGCAAAAATAGGGTAACCTTAATACAAACTATTCAGAAAAGAATGGAAGATACACAACAGTTACTGGTCCAAAGCAGTTCTGAATCCCCACTGGTCAGAAAAAAGCCCTCTTACCGAAGGCTAGGGGACGTTTTTTGATTAGATCCTGATTTGTTCTATGAGGCACTCCTTCATCCACTGTTCTTCATGCCCTCTGGGAAGTTCTTCCTTGATTATCCTTCCTGGTCACTTCTGAGATGGGCTTTAGGAAGTAAGAACTCCTTGGAGAATGTGCAGCTTTGACAGCCCAGTTCTTACTGCTGCAAATATGGGGACCTAAAAGTTATTTTAAACCTTGGCCAGCCAAAGTCTTGTTGGGGAAGGCGGGGTATAAAATATACATAAAATTTACCATTTAAATCATTTTTAAGTGTAAAGCTTAGTGGCATTAAGTATATTCACATTGCTGCACAATAATCACTACCATCCATTTCCAGAACTTTTTCATCTCCCAGATTGAAACTCTATACCCATTCAATAGTAACTGCCCATTCCCCCTCCTCTGAGCCCCTGGCAACCATCATTCTACTTTCTGTCTCTATGACTGACTATGCTAGGTACCTCATATAAGTGGCATCATATAATATTTGTCCTTTTGTGGCTGGCTTATTTTGCTTAGAATAAATGTCTTCAAGGTTTATGCATATTGTAGAATTTCCTTTCTTTTTAAAGCTGAGTAATAGTCTATTTTATGTATATACTACATTTTGTTTATCCATTCATCTGTCAATGGATACTTGGGTAACTTCCACCTTTTGGCTATTGTGAATAATGCTGCTATGAACATTGGTATACAAATACCTGTTCAAGTTCTTGCTTTCTTTTGGGTATATACTCAGAAGTATATTTTGCTGAATCATATGATAATTCTGTGCTTAATTTTTTTGAGGAATGCCCATACTGTTTTCCACAGTGATTGTACCATTTTTACATTCCTATTAGCAATGCACAAGGGTTCAAATTTCTCCCCATTCTCACAAGAAAATAACACTTATTTTCTGTTTCATTTTGTTTTGTTTTATAATAACCACCCTAGTGGGTTTGAAGTAGGTTTGTTTGCATTTCTCTAATGATTTAGTGATGTTGAGCATCTTTTCAAGTGCTTATTGACCATTTGTTTATCTTTGGAGAAATGCCTATTCAGATCCTTTGTTCATTTTTAAATCAGGTTGTTTGTTTTTTGTTGTTGTTGAGTTTATATATTCATATAAATTTTGATAAAGTCTGATTTATCGATTTTTCTCTTATTGCTTTTTCTTTTGGTGTTATATGCAAAAAATCATTGCCGAATTCAGTGTCATGAAGATTTTGCCCTATGTTTTCTTCTAAGAGTTTCACAGTTTTAATTCTTATATTTAGGTCTTTTATTCATTTTGGGTTAATTTTTATATGTGATTTAAGGTAAAGGTCTAACTTCATTCTTATACATGTGAATATCCAGTTTCCCCAGTTCCATTTGTTGAAAAGACTATCCTTTCCCCATTGACTGGTCTTAGAGCCATTGTCAAAATCATTTGACTATATGTGCAAGGGTTAATTTCTAGGTTCTCTATTCCATTGGTCTCTATGTTTATCTTTATGCCAGTACCACACTATTTTGATTACTATAGCTTTGTATAAGTTTTGAAATTAGGAAGCATGAGATCTCCAACTTTATTCTTCTTGTTTAAAATTATTTTGGCTATTCAGGGTCCCTAGAGATTTCATATGAATTTCAGGCAGTCAGGGGCTTTTTTTTTTTGTTTGGGCTCATAGTTTCTTTGGCAATACAATTACCTCGAAACATTTTGGTGTTAGAGTCAGAGTTCTCCAGAAAAACATTTGATAGATAGATAGGAAGATAGATAGATAGATAGATAGATAGATAGATAGATAGATAGATAGACAGACAGACAGACAGACAGACTCTGTATATGGAGAGAGAGATTTCAAGGAATAGGCTCATGATTGTGGAGGCTAGCAAGTCCAAAATCTTCAGGGTAGGCCAACACCTGGAGACTCATGAAAGAGTTGATTTTGCAGTTTGAGTCTGAAAGCAATCTGCCAGTATAATTCCTTCTTTTTCAGGGGAAGACAGTCTTTTTTCTGTTAAGACCTTCAACTGATTGGATGAGGCCCACCCACTATAGCTGATAATCTACTTTACTCAAAGTCTACTGTTTTAAATGTTAATCTTATCTTTAAAAAATACCTTCACAGAAACATCTAGAGTAATATTTGACTAAATATCCACATACTGTGGCCTAGCACACACAAAATTAACACAACAGATTTCTGCTCTATTTGCTTCTAGTCAGATTCCTGTGAGACTAACCACACTCGAGTTCTTTCCTAGATAGAATTCTCAAGATGATATATTTACTTGCTTCATCAACCCCCTTGTCTCACTCTCAACATAATGGTGGCTATATTGAAGCTGTGTGAAATAAGAAGTGGGGAGGTCACATTGTTCACCTTAGAGGTGATCACATCTTTCAGCTCCTGATGTTCAAGACCTTTTTGAATCTTATATATGTTGTCCAGAATCAGTCAGCTTTTCTGACCCTGAAAGGCCCATCATCTCTGGACTTTCTCTATTTCCCTTTCATCTCTGCTTGAATACCAGCTAACTCTCACCTAAGTCCACCTCTTCTTTCTAATATGTTATGAAGGAACCCGTGCTAGTTATTAAGTTATTGTCTCTCCGCTCCAAATCTACCCTCCTACTTTCTGCTATGAGATGCTAGAACTGGGATTCTGCAAATCACATTTCTGCTTTGTCAGCTGGCTCTGTTTGGCTCTGCCAATAAGGGCCACTAGAGGGAGATAGTGAGGCCAGAGGAGGAAGAAAGGACTCTTTTTTTTCTCTTTGCTTCCTATTCCAGTGAGGTCACCCTGGAAATGCTCCTTCACCCTGGCAACAGTAGTTTCTTCCTGTAGCAGGAGGTGAATCTACTTTGCAGTCTCCTCCAACAATTGCAGAAACAACTTCCTGATGTTCCACTCAGAGACAGCAGCACCAACTGGGTAGCACCCCTTTCCTCAGAGGTATTCGGACACCAGCATCAGACTTGGAGGTCTGAATTTATGCTCCGTAGGGCCCCTCTTCTAAGTGTGTAAGTTTTAGTAATTCCAAACTCTTCCCTTTGCTCTCCTAGCCTTAGAAGTTATAGATACTTCCTGCTATTCCTGCCTCTGAGATATCTCACTTTTCTTTTTACCTTTTCAACTGAAAGATTGATAACTCTAAACTTAGTTAACCATTCTAACCATTCTTTACATTAAATTCTCTCTGTCTAGTGACTGGTGTGGTCTCATTGGCTGTACCCTGACTGCTACAGAAATTGGTACTAGTAGATCTCAAAAGATAGGATTAAGGGACTGGTTTGGTTGTGTCATTGGATTTGAATGTGCTAAGCTCCTTGCCAATGAGAAATGTGATGCTACTAATCCATGGCATGCTGTGGCATCATGATTAATCAAATTATCACCTGTGGTTATTTGTGATGAAGTGCCAACTAAAGCAAGTGCCTTGGGGGCCCAAGTGGTTGTTGCACTTGACTGTCAAGGGAATGATGATGACCACAGAGACTTGGTATGGGAGGAATTCTTTGTGAATGCATTAGAGTCTTTGCAGAAAATGACAAGCTTGGGTATTTAAACTACCAGCTCAAGTCATGGTCAGAGAATCACAGTGCTTCCATGGTAGCCATAAAATAGGCTCATTTCTTTTAGCCACCAGACTTATTTGGTACAAATAAAACAAAAAAAGTGCATGTTGCAGAGTGACATAAGTTGAATTCAATCTTATTAAGTCTTTCCTATGACTAAGAAGGAGTGGGACCCTGAAACTTGGCATGGGGACATCTGGTTTGACTCTTCTAGGTTCTCAGAGTCTCCTCCATTCTGCCAGCACTTGGGAGTTTTATGGGCCAGCCTGTCACTTCCACTCATAATCCATTAGCCAGAATTCAGTCACATCGCCATACCTCTCTGTAAGAGAGGCTGGGGAACTGTGGGTATTGGTGAGAATGAGTAGTTTATGCCACACTAAATGGATCACTAGGGACATTTAAAATAGAAGTTTTAAGGGAGTGATGTTGACAGAAGCCAAATGGTAAGACATTAAGAAATGAATAGATGACAAGGAATTGGTAGCTAATCTTTAATAGGACCCTAATGAGAGAGAAAAAGATAAACCTTAAGCTAGAGTTAGGCAACAGCCAAACGTGGAAAGCTGTTTCTGTTGTTGGTTTTTTAGTTTAGTTTTGCTTTTTAATTGCTAGAGGAGAATTGATCAACATGGGAGTTTTGACCTGCTCTGTTTCTGACCTGGGCTGGTTCACCCTACCTTAGGCAACCTGGTGGTCTCCTGCTCCTGGGAGGTCACCATATCAATGTCAAACTTAGAGCGGACACTCGGTCACCATAGTGCACTACAGCCCAGAACTCCTGGGCTCAAGCGATCCTCCTGCCTCAGCCTCCCGAGTAGCTGGGACTACAGGCACGCACCACCATGCGCAGCACTAGAGGAGAGTTGAGCATGTGTTTGCAGTCTCAGTGAACAGGAGGAGAGCTAGGACATGAGTGGAGAGTTAGCTAGGGGCAGAGAGAGGTCCACATTTTTAGGATGAGAGGGAAAGACAGATGCAAATAGAAATTATGAGGTAGAGAAGAGGAAAGCTGAAAATTCAGTAGGATATCTTTGGTTTCTGTGAAGGGACAAGGAGTAATAAAAGATTTAGG